AACTTTTACCTGTTGTTAGATTACCAAAGGTATGAAGAATAGCTTTTTTATTTGTATATTGGTAAAACTGGGAACATATATTCGTAAAACTACAGGGAGAATAATTTGGGACTATCTATCAAAATTAATTGCAACACTCCTCTGACCCAATGTTTCCACCTATGGAAATTAATAATCCTATAGATATACTTGTATACAAGCAAATGACACATATACAAGAGTTAGTCATCAAAGTAGAAGATCAGAAAGTGCATCAACAACTGATCAATTAGATAACATGGTTAAAAAGGAAAAAAAAAAGCTCTGTACTGATAACAGGATAAATCGTTCATGCCAGGTGCAGTGGCTCACGCCTGTAATCTCAGCACTTTGGAAGGCCGAGGCAGTAGGATCATTTGAGGTCAAGAGTTCAACACCAGCCTGGCCAACATTGTGAAACCCCATCTCTACTAAAAATATAAAAATTGGCTGGGCGTGGTGGTGCATACCTGTAATCCCAGCAACTTGGGAGGCTGAGGCAGGAGAATCGCTTGAGCCCAGAAGGTGGAGGTTGCAGTGAGCTGAGACTGCACCACTGCATTCCAGCCTGGGCGAATGAGCGAAACTTCAAATAGAAAAAGAAAATTGAAGAAAAAAGAAAACCAAAGTCTCAAAACAAACAAACAAACAAACAAACAAAGGTAAATTGTTCAGTGAAATAAATTAAGATGCAGAAGAGTATATAATATTAACCCATTTGTATAAAGATGGAGGGAGTAAATATTTATTCACATTTGAATATGCAAAAAAACCTTGAAAGACATGCAAGAAAGTAATAATTACATGGTAGCAGGAATGCTATTGATAAACTGGGCAGATGAGGAAGAGGAGTAACAGGAAGGGTTTTGAATATATTTTCAAATTTTATACAATCTGACTGTATAACATAGTCTGAAAATTAAACCATAAAATATATATAGCTAGCCAAAATCATTGTATTTTTCCCATTTATCTACTCACACCATTACTCTAGTCTATGGCAAAACTACTTTAGAGGTGACTACCCAAACTGGAGAAGAGTATAGTAATAATAGCTAAACCTCTACTTTTTTTAGCTGCCTCATCACATATGCCAGGGTCTAATAAACTCACATGTACACATTTCAGAATAGTACTGAGTTGTAGAAAAATATGATTTCTCTGACAAAGGTAACTAAAAGTGGACAAGAAAATGAGGAATACCCAAGAGTCCATAGGAAAGCACACCAAAACGTGATACAGAAGTCAGCATTTCTTTCTTTCTTTTTTTTTTCTTGAAACAGGGTGTCACTCTTACCCGTCCCAGGGACTGAAGTACAGTGGTATGACCATGGCTCACTGCAGCCTTGACCTCCCAGCTCAAGCCATCCTCCTGGCTCAGCTTCCCAAGTAGCTGGAACTACAGGCGCATGCCACCATGTGTAACTGTCTTCTTATTTTTATTTTTTATATTTACTTTTGCAGAGACCAAGGTCTCCCTATGTTGCCCAGGCTGGTCTCAGACTCCTGTGCTCCAGTGAGCCTCCTACCTTGGCCTCTCAAAGAGCTGGGATTACAGGTGTCAGGGCAGCACATCCCGCCTAAAAGTCAACATTTCTTTATATTCAAGCAACAATGATCCTCAGAGTTAAATAAAATTAATATTCACTAGAAACATCATCTGTCTAGAGATGTACAAAAGAGAAAAAAAGAACCTAAAACAACAGATTTTAGGTCTAACAACAACAACAACAACAAAATGTGGCTCATTTTTCCAAAAAAAATTTCTACCACAAGAAATTATATCCATTTTTTAAAATAGACATTCTTTTTTTTCCTTTTTTGAGACAGTCTCCTTCTCTCACGCAGGCTAATGGGCAATGGTGCAATCTTGGCTCACTGCAACCTCCACTCCCCGACTTCAAGCGACTCTCCTGCCTCAGCCTCCCAAGTAGCTGGGACTACAGGCACCCACCACCACGCCTGGCTAATTTTTCTATTTTTAGTAGAAACCGGGTTTCACTATGTTGGCCAGGCTGGACTCGAACTCCTGACCTCAGGTGATCCGCTTCCCTCAGCCTTCCAAAGTGCTGGGATTACAGGTGTGAGCTACCTTGCCCAGCCAAAAAAATAAGAATTTTAATTAGAAGTATGTATTTAGTAGATCATTCTGCATAAAATATCCAAAGCTTGTTTGTCCACAAAGTAGAAAAATTGTGGGTCAATACAATAAGGCTTCATAAATTACAGCCACTACTGTTAAAAATGAGTAGAAAACACTGTTTAATTTGATGAAATAAAATGAACTACCAGGCATTTGAAAATACTCCACCACCCCAGTTTTCAATAAAAATTTTTTCAAGAAATCTCTGCACTTACCCCCATTGTCTATTCTTTTTTAGGCTCCATCCTGATGGGGACACAGTTCATATCTCTATTAAAAAACAAACAAACAAACAGGTAATGAAGAAACATTTCAGATGATCAAAAACAGTATCTTCCCTACAACTTCAAAACTCCTGAAAATGGGAGAGCAGCATTTGTACTAGCTGCCCCCCAAGAATATTTCAGAACTTTCTTCACAAACAGTTGTTCCTGACGACATGTGATCTTCAGAGGACAAGCTATTTTTTTAAAAGTACATTTTAGGCAGGGTACAGTGGTTCACGCCTGTAATCCCAGCACTTTGGGAGGCCAAAGCAGGCGGATAGCGAGGTCAGGAGATTGAGACCATCCTGACTAACATGGTGAAACTCCGTCTCTACTAAAATAATACAAACAATTAGCCGGGCATGGGGGCAACTGTAGTCCCAGCTACTTGGGAGGCTGAGGCGGGAGAACGGGGACAACCTGGGAGGCGGAGCTTGCAGTGAGTTGAGATTGGGCAACAGAGCGAGACTCCACCTCAAAAAATAAAAATAAAATAAACAAATAAATAAAGTACATTTTAACTTTTAAACTCCTGCCACGGGCCAGGCGTGGTGGCTCATGCCTGTAATCCCAGAACTCTGGGAGGCCGAGGCGGGTAGATTACCTGAGGTCGGGAGTTTGAGACCACCCTGACCAACATGGAGAAACCCCGTCTCTACTAAAAATAAAAAATTAGCCAGGAGTGGCGGCGCATGCCTGTAATCCCAGCTACTGGGGAGGCTGAGGCGAGAGAATTGCTTGAACCCGGGAGGCAGAGGTTGCAGTGAACCAAAATCGTGTCATTGCACTCCAGTCTGGGCAACAAGAACGAAACTCCATCTAAAAGAAACAAAAGAAAACAAAAGAAAAAACTCCTGCCACAAGTTTTTAAATCTTACATGAATGAAAACACAAGGATGCTGGGATTAATTACCTGGGGAGAGGGAGAAAAAATCAGAAAGGTCCTCTCAACACAAGAATGAAGCAAAGCTTTTAACATCTGCCTGTACCTGTTTACTTCCTGTCCTTTTTTTTTTTTTTTTTTTTAAGATGGAGTCTCGCTCTGTTGCCCAGGCTGGAGCACAGTGGGGTGATCTCGGCTCACTGCAAGCTCCGCCTCCTGGGTTCATTCTCCTGCCTCAGTCTCCCGAGTAGCTGGGACTACAGGTGCCCGCCATGACGCCCGGCTAAGTCTTTTGGATTTTTAGTAGAGACGGGGTTTCACCTTGTTAGCCAGGATGGTCTCGTTTTCCTGACCTTGTGATCCGCCCGTCTCAGCCTCCCAGAGTGCTGGGATTACAGCCGTGAGCCACCGCACTTGGCCCTTTACTTCCTGTCTTATGGCCAGCTAGGATGACTGCAGTCAAGTAGGTCTGGTTTCTCTTAAAGAGCCAAACTCACGAATTTAGAATTTTAATTTAAGTGGCAAGAAATGATCTCACACATGCTGATTTCCCTTCTGAAAGGAATTAGGCTAATCAGCTATTATTGTTCAAACACAATGGCACTCAAAATTTATTGTGGATCCCTCCCCTCCCATCCTCAGAATGGAAAAGCAAAAATAAATGTAGAGCCAGTACTACCCCTTCTTATGAAACACAGTAAGTTTCAATGGCATTGTCTTACTATGAAGAATACGTTCCTGAAAGTCGCACTTGAGTATTATTTATATCCCAGTTTGTTTCCAAAAGAGGTTCTGCAGCATACGACATAGTAATATGGGCACATTTGTCAACGTGCCAAAGGACCATCCACACATAGAGGTAATGCTACACAACGTGTGTGGCCCTGGCAGGTCAGGTGGGCCAAGGCCCGAAGCCCCCCCCCATCCACACATAGAGGTAATGCTACACAACGTGTGTGGCCCCTGGCAGGTCAGGTGGGCCAAGGCCCGAAGCCCCCCGCCAGGTCTCCCTGTCAACAGGCAGCTGCTTACCCAAGTCCATGCCTCCTGCCACTTACTAGCTAATTTCCCGCTGGCCCTCAGAGCGGCAGCTGTGTGCACCTTAATTGGGGCCGCCAAAAAGTGGCATCTCATGAGAGACAGCAGCCTGCACACAACCCTGGCAGATCGACTCTCAACATTTTGGTCCACCGCATTTGCTCTGGATGTGTTCCTTTGTATACTGTATTGTCATAGTAATATAGTATCTGGAGACCTTAAACCTTTTTTTTTTTTTTTAAGTTCAGGCTGGGTGTGGTGGCTCACACCTGTAATCCCAGCTTCTTGGGAGGCTGAGGTGGGAGGATCCCTTGAGCCCAGGAGTTCGAGGCTGCAGTGAGCTATGATCACATCACTGCACTGTAGCCTGGGTGACAGAGGGAGACCCTGTCTCCTGAAGCAATTCTTTTATTTAAAAAATTTAGGCCGGGCACAGTGGCTCACACCTGTAATCCCAACACTCTGGGAAGCTGAGGCGGGCGAATCACGAGGTCAGGAGATCAAGACCATCCTGGCTAACATGATGAAACCCCATCTCTACTAAAAATACAAAAAATTAGCTGGGTGGGGTGGTGGGCACCTGTAGTCCCCCTACTCGGGAGGCTGAGGCAGGAGAATGGTGTGAACTCGGAAGGCGGAGCTTGCAGTGACATCGCACCACTGCACTCCAGCCTGGGCGACAGAGCAAGACTCCGTCTCAAAAAAAAAAAAAAAAATTAAAAGTTCAGTACCTATATTCAAGATTATGTGTACTGAACATGTATGTTCTTACCCACCCATGACTTGATGTCTTGTAGAACCTATTTAATTTTTAGATAATATCGCCAAGATTTTAAGCTGACATGTGATCATTGAATAATCTATCCCCATCTTCTAGGGGGAGCAGAGAGGAGCCAAAGATTGTAAGGAGCCTAACTTTGGTTCTGGCCCTACATCGACTCAGATTTGCCTCTGTTTTGGTTCACAGACCATGGTTTTTCCATGGTGGATGGGAGAAGAGTGTTGATTAAAAAAAAATACCAGACAGATCAGCCCCTTTGCAGCTGTAGACAAGGTAGATTCAATGGTTTGCTTCAACCTCACTGTAAGTTCCTTCACTCATCCTCCCATCTGAATTCAACAAGTATCAACCTTAATGCCCCACTTTCTTCCTCAGTTAAATAGTAGAGACTTTTATTTCTCTGATTCCTCCCTAACCATTACTTTAGAAGAGTGACTCTTAAACTTTTAGAGGTCATAAACCCCTAGAGGCCCTCTGCTTAGAAAAATATAAAACCATACAAATGTGAAGTATTCTCATAGGACCCAGGACACGAACAGCTCTCCAGAGAGCAAAGAGAGGCTTAGATTGTAAGAATATTATTGTAAGCCTCAGTTCATTTTCCCTGTATCCCCGCATTTCCCTCTCCACACACATTGCAAAAATCCATTTCTGACCTTTTCTCCCCCAACTGTGCCCCCTGCAATGCTTGTGTCTAGAAACTGCAGCTTTCTCCAGTATTGGGAGGAGGCTCCAGGAGCCTCAGCCTTCAGACCATGACTGTGGCAGAGATGAGAGCTGGGCTGGGTTGGGAGGGTGCCCTCCTCAGGAGCTGGACATCCTTCCTGAGCTTTGGGATTACTTTTGCCCCTTCCCTTAGATGTTCTCATGCCCAGTGACAAGCACAGCCCTTGGAAAGATTATCTTCTTTAGCCACTTGCCCCCTGCCCTAAAAGTTTAGCCTCTGTGGACACTATGCTGTGTCTGCCAGATGCCGCCCCACTCTGGCGCATTTATTCTCCACCCTTGGCCTTACAGACAACCCAGTGAGCATGTTTTTAAATCTCTAATTTCCCTAGCCAGGAGCAGATCTGTTTCTTCCTACAGGACAAGACCCAAGTAATGATGAGAATCATAGTTTGATTATCACTGGACACAACTTACTTCTGTAGTTCACAGAATGCCTTGCCATGTGCACGTCCACGAGGGAAGAAGGGACTGGGTTGAGGTCAGGCCCTTTGGTATGTCAAGGTAAGGACTCGTCCTGTTTCCAGGTCATGAGGATTGATGGCACCATGGACAGCCCTCCGTGTCTCAAGGTGACCCATAAGACATTTGGCACACAGCATAGCAATGCTGACATGATCTACTGCCGCTTGAGCATGCCTGTCGAGTGCCACTCTTCCTTCAGCCACAGCCCCTGTCTGGACAGTGAAGCTTTCCAGAAAAGGTGAGGGTGAGGCCTCTGGTTCTCAGAGGCACTCATTGTATCTGCTGTAAAGTGGGTTTTCTGCTTTTTACCCTAACTCAGCACACAAACTCCATAGATAGGGTTCTCTCTGCCTTCAGCCAGGTTAAAAAAAAAAAAGAGAGAGAAAGAATGTGTGTGCATACATGTGCATACAAGTACATGTGTGTGTTTGTGCCATGCATAATTAAGGTGCCAATCATGCTGAACAGACCCATCTGGTGGTAAAGTTTCTGCTCTTCTTGAACTCTGGGTCCCTACCTTCCTTGCTGCCACAACTCCTGTGTTTTGTGAGGGCATAAGAGGGTGCAATTATTTTTGGTTTTGTGTGTAATTAGAAGTTTCTGGAGGCAGATACTGCCTCCTTTGCATAACTATGGGCATTGTCCAACTCTGCGGCTGTGTGATTCATGAGCAATGTGTCTTCTTTCTTCCTGATAAGGAATATATTCCTTGCTGTCTTTCTTTCCCCTGATGCCTATTTTTAATCATTGATGTATGTCTGCTGCCTGGAGCCATCTTGTTGGGGTTTCCTCTAGAGTTTTGCTTTCTACCAAGCTTTTAAACAAGCACAGCTGCTTGAGAGAATAGGATAGCCTATTCAGAGGTATCCTTGCTTGTACTATTGCAGTCTTCCATCCTCACTCTCAACTTACCATCTAACTTACCATCTGGGCTGAGGGATAAGAGTTGGGAGTTGCATCCCTGCCTTGTGTTAACAGCTTGCAAATGAACAGTCCCGAGACTGGTTGCAATCACTTGTGTCTAGGAAGCAGCCACTTTCCTAAACTTGCCTTGATCATTAAAGGTAGATCAACTGCCTGTCGGAACAGTGGGATTCTCTATACAGCTGAATAACTAAAACATGGATTATCTTTCCCCCAGGAAACAGATGCAAGAAATACTCTCTCATACAACAACAGTAAGTAAATGTGCTCAATTATGGTTTTAATTATTTGATTCTTCGTTGTGCCTGGTAATATGCCCCTTACAGCAAAGATCTGTCTAGAGATCCTCTTTAATTGCCAATTACTCTGTCTTTTAATATCCATCTTGATGCTTCCAGAACACATCTATGGCATTTCTCAAGTGGGGAAAAGAAATACAGTTACTCAGTGCAAAGCAAAAGCTCTACCTGGAGCTCCTAATTGGGCATCTTTGGGTACTTGTTGCCCATTTGCCATCAGGAACCCAACACTGCCTTTCTGACTGAAATGAGCATCAGTGGAGGGCGCTCAATTCAATCTTTTGGTTTGCTTTTTTTGTGCAAACTTTTGTGAGTCAGCTACCCCATGTCTCTGTGCAGTACTAGGAGTGATGTCAAAAGCAATCAAATGAGAAGAAGAGCAAGAAGCCAACGCAGAAGGTGGAAGCTACTTTTGGTCCCTAGACAGTAGTCAGAAAGCACCTCCTGATTTTTCTTTCTTTTGCTCATTCTTCTTTAGCATCTGGCAAAAAAAAAAAAAAAAAAAGTTTATGGAAGCAATGCATGTGGGTCAACCCTTCTGTAAAGTTATCCAACAATCCTGAATTTGTAGATTCACCTTCATCAGGAGTAAGATTCTTGCTGCAGTGAATCACACACTTAGTGCGTGTGGGACACCGTGCTTGGCACATTGTCACCTTCCCATTTAATCTCCATTTAATTCATTTAAAATTAATCAGCAAGCCCTGAAATGGATAATATTATGCATAATATTATGCACAGAGAGGACAAATGGTTTGTCCAAAGTCACTTGATGAATACCTGGCAGTGTCAAGATTCAAACCCAGGTTTGTTTAGCTGACCCTTTTTTCTTCCGGTCAAGAAAATTTGACAGACTACAAGTAAGAGCCACTTCATTAAGAATGAATCTACTCAGTTTCATCAGGAAAATGATGAGGTAGTCACCTGCCTCAGTGCTGTAGCTATTGTTGTAATACAGTGATAACCCCATGAACTGTGTGAGCCCTGCCAAAAACTGCAGTACTTCTCAATACTGCCTGTAGTTGAGTGTGACAGCTACATAAAGCACATTTGGCCATGACATGAACTCTTTCTTAAGCAACCTCTTTCAAGATTTTCCAGAAAAAAGCACTGGACCTCCTTGTAGAAGGAGAAAGTGTAACAGGAACGCTCTGAGCCTTGACCACTCTCTCTCTGAGGGCAGGGACTGTGCCCGCTCTCTCCTGCAGCCCAGATCTGCCCTGGTGCCCAGGGGAGGGTTAGGGCTCTGTGCTGCCATTCTGAGCAGCTGCCACTGCTTCCATCCACAGCATCTCCTGGTTTGAGCACCAGCGTCTTCTGGGCAAAGGGTGGTAGATTAGCTTAAGCATTTGCTTTGCCAGATGCTACAGCAAAATAGAAAGGAAAAATTAGGAAGCCAGAATCCCTATTCAGCCTTCCTTCCAGATCTAGCATGTAGTCTACCTCTACTAGTGTGCACTTTTCCAGAAAAAAAAAAAGGGCCAAGTGAGCTGCTGTGTTATTTCTGCCTCTTGGGCCCCCTCTCCTCAACTGGATGGGGGCCATTGACTCCCGTCTGCCGTCTCTCCACAGCAGTGCTACTATGCCATCCGCATCTTTGCTGGACAGGATCCATCCTGCGTCTGGGTCGGATGGGTGACTCCAGACTATCACTTGTACAGTGAAAAGTTTGACCTGAATAAAAACTGCACAGTGACTGTCACCCTAGGGGATGAAAGAGGCCGGGTACACGAAAGGTAAGGGGGCTTCCAAGTGGCAGGGTTAGCCATCGGGCTTCTCAGTCCCTCCCACATCGGGCTTCTCAGTCCCTCCTTCACAGTCTTTCTTCCATCCCACACCCAAAGAAGGGAAACATCTCAGCCTCTCTACAAGGAGAAAATGAAGATGTGGCTTCAAATAAACAAACCAGTACTATGACAGTGAGAAAAAGTGCTAGTGAAAATAGAGAAGAATTTCATCATGTATATAAACTGTGACCCAGGGATGGAAAATATAGACAACAGGTACGTGATCTCTCTCAGAGATTTTTCCAGGACTCCTGGGCAAGTCCCAATTTCTACAACATCAGAACAAGACAGAAAATCTCAAAAGTGAGAAGTTGATTCAGTAAGAAACAAAGATGTAGCACATCACACAATACCAAAACTGGTACACCCAGAATTCCTCCTCCCAAGAGCTTATAATGGTTGAAAGCATAAGGGAATCCTTCAAAGAGGATACTGAGACTTTATGAGTAATAACCACCAAATAGAAATTAGAACTTAGGGCAAGCATGATTCTAGGCATACCATACCTCCACTCCGGTCTGCTGGCACTGCCAGAGAAGCGATTGTTGGCTGTGGATGTGCCCCAGAGGTGACCCAGGAGGACTGTGGCTTTGTGGTTTCCCTCCTGTTCCCCACCTACTTGAGGCAGGAGCATCTTTCCCTATACAGCCATATGTAGAGATGTCGTAAGTTGTTTTTCGGTTGGCCTCTTTGCTCCCACAAAGACAGGAAACATCTGCAACCAGCTCCTTTAGAGAATATTGGCTCACCAAAGACTAGTGGCCAGAGGTGAGTCACAGTCACTGTGTCATGAGGGACCAGCAGCTGGTTAAGAGTGCTGGCTTAGACCGGGCAGGGTGGCTCATGCCTGTAATCACAGCACTTTGGGAGGCCAAGGATGGCAGATCACGAGGTCAGGAGATCGAGACCATCCTGGCCAACATGGTGAAACCCTGTCTCTAGTGAAAATATGAAAATTAGCCGGCACGGTGTGGCATGCCTGTGGCTCTCAGCGTACTCAGAAGGCTGAGGCAGGAGAATTTGCTGAACCCAGGAGGCGAATGTTGCAGTGGAGCTGAAGATTGTGCCACTGCACTATCCTGGCAACAGAGCAGTACTTCTATCTCAAAAGAGTGCTGTCTTTAGAATAAACCGGCCTGAGCTAGGATATGACATTGACCAGTCACTTAATATCCTTGCTCTTGATTTCATCTATGAGATGAGGATAATAGTTTCGTTATCACGGAATATTGTGGAGGGTTAAATAAGTTAATTTATAGAAAATTCCTTAGGACAGTGCCTCAACTCAATAAATTTCAACTACAGTCATTGCTTAGTATCTGAGCTAGATTTGCCCCAGCATCTTCCACTCATACCAAAATCCACTCATACTCAGTGACCACAATCAGCACTGAACTCCTCGGTATAGAAAAGTCAGCCTTCCCTATACGTGAGTTTTGCACCTGTGAATACTGTATTTTCAATCCATGTGTGCTTTGAAAAATTCACCTGTAAGGTAATTTCATGTATAATGGACTTAGATGCAATTCAAAACTCCATGTTTTTCAAGGATCAGCTGTATAATTATTATTCTCGTTATTGAATGTCCACTATAAGAGCTAAAATAGGATACTATGAGCAACATCTGGTTTAGATTGGAAAGGAAAGGATTCTAAAGTGATTGACCAACTTGTGCAGCTTTGTTCTTCAGCCAGAAGAAAAGGCAGAAGTCTCCACTTCATTTGAGTTTGTAATTCCAGTTTGCTGGCTCTACCATACGAGATCGACATTTGATTTATCTGAGCCTCCATGGCCGACTTATCAGGAAATTAACTAACATTTTAGCACCTAGGAGAAGACATACTATGTAGTACACATTCAATAATTCTTACTTTGTCCTACGTAATAAGAAATAAATACAAAAATCCGTTTACAGATGCTTTCTTTGTGACATTTTGAATTTAGGTCTTTAATATATGACCAAAGCCAACCGCTCTCAAAGATTCCCACAGCTTGAATACATTATTAATTGAATTCCGTATTAGTCATCAGTATGGCTAGCATCTTAATCACTAAAAAAGTAGTACTCACATGGCTGCAAAGTGATGGAACTCTAATAATGCTATATAACTCCTTGAAAGAGGCTATTGGCACTGGCCCCTGCCTGAGGGCATTCACAGGAAGTGAGCATGAGGAGGGCATTCACAGGAAGTGAGCATGAGGAGGGCTTTCACAGGAAGTGAGCAGACCCATTGTTGCCCCAAAGGAGAGGACAGGAAATTAATGCATGCTTACCATGGGGGATGGGATAGACTTCTACAGGCAGAAGGAACCTTGGCTGAATCCTAATTGAACCCCTTTTGCTAAATGAGTAGAACATCATCCCTAGAGGTGAAGCAACTCTCAGAATTGACAGAATCTATTCTAGGACTACCCACCCCACGGTGCCAGATGTGTCTGTTCTGCCCCCGTGTGGCTTTGTCATGCTGAGGACTACACTCAGGAAGCCAGGCTGAGTCACATCGCACTGACCCTAAGATGTTTAAAGGGGCTGTTCTTGCATCAGGTATAGCTACCTTGATTCTCTACTTGAGAAAAGTCATGTCATGTCACTTCAAGGGACCAGGTGCCTGAGCTGACGTGACACCAGTGTGGGTTTAGAAGGAGAAAGAACAGCTTGCCTCTTGCCTTGACGGTGTGGGGGAGCTGTGAGAATCACCTCAGCCACTGCACATCTCCACAGCTCACCTGGGATGTGAACCCCACAATTAAGGAATCAGGCTTTGGAGCCTTAAGGACTTTTTCATTATTACAGTTTGATGTTAAGTGTAAATACCTGTAATGGAGTTTTGGGCCCTGGGGGTTGTAGACAGAAAGCTAAGCAAGGCACCTAAGTTGATGGTTAGCCAGTAGTGCGGGAGGCAGAACTCCAAGGCACTGGGAAGGACAGGGGCATATAAGTCAAGGTAGTGGCAAGGTGTCAGAGAAAAACTACTTCGTAGGGAGCCCAGGCTGGCCATCCTAAGGAATGTGGGCCTGAGTTTTCAAGTGTTTTACTGCCTTTTGTGCTGATTACCAGACGGGGACTCTGAACCCAGACTTTTGTTTCTGCCTCTTATTCCAAATCCCCATGTAAGTTTGCCAAAGGTGGTCATTCACCCCATGCCTCAATTTCCCGTCTCTGTGGTGGGATGCTACCATTCCCTGATCTGTTTCACAAAGGTGTATTGACGTTGAGTCTGGAAACAGTTCTCTGAACATTGTGCTCTTTGGAAGGAGGTAACCTGAATAGATTGCCACACCCCTACACCGAGTGGTTCGTGTCTGAGTAAATGGGGGTGAAGCTAAATAAACTCATTTAAGAAAAAAAAAAAAATTATTTGGGGCTGAACAGAAAGCTTCCTAGGAAAGTTTCTGTAGCTATTTTCATTTCATTCCTGAGTCTTGATTACAAACTGCCCCAGTCCAGATTCTCTGCCTTTTCCTGTCTTGGCTCCTAGTGTGAAACGCAGCAACTGCTACATGGTCTGGGGCGGGGACATAGTGGCCAGTTCCCAGAGATCAAATCGGAGCAACGTGGACCTGGAGATCGGCTGTCTTGTGGATCTGGCAATGGGCATGTTGTCCTTCTCAGCCAACGGAAAAGAACTGGGCACCTGCTACCAGGTAAGGGTGGCTTCTGGGGCCGAAACAGGGCTATCCCAGGCCTGGTGTTCATGACTGTGTTCCTTGTTCTCCATACTCAGCATTCCTGCCACAATGTGTCAAGCTGATGAGCCCATGTGGGCCATGGACCACTTAGGACAACAAATAGGAACAAAGTTACTTCATTGTGTGCAGAGAAAACAGGGCTGGACAATCACTATGATTGCCATAGTGATTGTTGATCCAATATGCTGGTCATCTTTCTAGAGGATGAAAAGGCTTTTCCTTGGTGTTGAGCTGTAAAAGGTTATTCATTTATTTCATAAATATTTCTTGTACAGCCTTATCTATTACCTGCACTATTCAAGATGCAAGATGTAAAGCGTGAACAGAAATACTTCTCACTTTAAGAAACTTCTGTACTCAAAATAGAAACCTATAAAAATGGATTAATTTGCCAGGAAGTATCCCTTTTGCAAAAAGATTATCCACATTCCCTATGACTACCTTACAGGATGCTTTAAAAATACACTTACAGGCCAGGCATGGTGGCTCACACCTGTAATCCCAGCACTTTGGAAGGCCGAGGCGGGGGGATCATGAGGTCAGGAGATTGAGACCATCCTGGCTAACACAGTGAAACCCTGTCTCTACTAAAAGTGCAAAAACTTTGCCAAGCGTGGTGACCTGTGTCTGTAGTCCCAGCCAGTCGGGAGGCTGAGGCAGGAGAATTGCTTGAACCTGGGAAGTGGAGGTAGCAGTAAGCTGAGTTACTCCAGCCTGGGCAACAAAGCAAGACTCCCATCAAAAAAAAAAAAATACATTTATATAAATAATGTGTTTCCTCATTTCCTGGACTGTGAACTTCCATAGAGCTACTCAGGAAAACCATCCATTATACACATGTAGGTTTACCTGTCATTAACCACAAGCAGCTTGATCTCTTCATTCTTGATGGCCAGGCGAGCTTGGGAAACTGCCACAAATCAAATCCTCTTGAAGTTTTGTAATGAAGGTTAGCACACTGAAATATTTGAGAAGTACTTCAGAAAGAAACCTATCTAACCAAGCAATTCTCAAATTATTTGACAAAGAAAAGCACTTTTTTAACTTTAAGAACCAGTAATATTCTGTGAACCTAGAGTTCCACAGAGCATACTATGGGAGATGGGAAGTTAAGGAATTAATGTCTATGTTAAACATTCTTGACTCTCCAGGGTAGAATGGAGAGTCACAAGTATTTGTAGACAGAGAACACTATACGAGTTCAAAAAAGGAAGAGCTCATTCCATCACGAGCAGTCAGGAAAATGTTCATTAAGGAGAAATCTTGATTTTTTTTTTTTAAAGGAAAAAGCATTTGTATAGGTCAGGCGTAGAGGCTCACACCTGTAGTTTCAGTATCTTGGGGAGGCTGAGGCAGAGAGATCACTTGAGCTCAGGGGTTTGAGACCAGCCTGGACAACATGGTGGACCCTCAGCTTTACAAAAAATACAAAAATTAGCTGTGTGTGGTAGCATACGCCTGTAGTCCCAGCTGCTTAGGAGGCTAAGAGAATCGCTTGAGTCTGGGGAGGTCAAGGCTGCAGTGAGCCATGGTTGTTCCACTACACTCCAGCCTGAGTGACTGAGTGAGACCCTGTCTTAAAGAATGAATGAGTTTTCATGGGTAGAAAGAGAAGAGTGTTGAATACATAGCTCAAGAAGCATTATGGAGATAGGGAAGCATGAAGTGTGCTTAAGGATCAGTGGACATCGCATAGGGCTCTTACAGTTATTGGTAAGAAATGTATTTGGAAAACTAGGGAGGTACAGATAGGAAATGGGGAGCCATTGAAGGTTTCTGAGCAGAAGAGCGGCATGCAGTATTTAAGGAATCCAGCAGTTTTTCAGGGTCACTGGTTTACCTAACTATAGCAAATTAAAAACATCCTGCTATGATGTACATGGATACAACTCCTGATTCTTAAGTCAGCCTCAGGTTACAGCCTCAAGGCTGAAAAGCCTCTTGGCAGCCAGTTCTCTGGCCTGTGGTTGGAGAGATGAGGTAAGGTAGAGAGGAGACAGAGTAGCTACCTCCCATCTGAAATGTTCATTGACTAAGAACAGACGGAGCAAACCCTTCCTGCAGTGGGGAACAGCCTGCTGGCACACAGGCCGCCACCTTGTCTCTCCAACACCTCCTGCAGCGCATGACCCTCTCGGCACCTCCTCCTCCTCCTGGGAGAAAGTGGAATCATCACCACTTGGCAGGCTTGCTTCAGCAGCTGGGGCACAACCAACTGTTTCCAGAAAGATGCATTCGCAAAGCCAGGCTTTGAGACAGAAAGTGAAGTATTATTCTTCCAGTACTTTTTCATGATTCTATCTCCTCCACCTCCAAATCCCCTGAGAAGTGTTTTATATACGTTACTGCTGTCCTTCAGAATCCATTAGCTTTTTCCCATTAACTTTAGAAATGAGTGTAACTGAAGGGCCCTCCCTGAGCTGCAGAGAATGCTAAAGCGTCTCATAACTTTTAAGACTAGCTGATCTTTGGAAGTTCAAAAAAGTTAATTAATTTTTTCACATGGCATTTGCAGCAGCAGTGACTTGTCTGCTTCAGGAAAGAGCCCGTGATGTTGAAGAGGAGGACACTGTGGCAGCTTTAGCCCACCTTTCACCATCCTCCTGGGTGATACAGGCTGGTCAGTTGTCTTCTTTTGGCTGGGTGCTGGTGCCTGCCTCCTGGAGAGCCTTCCTCCACCCCGTGCACAGAAATCCTCATGGTCCTGCTCAGCGGTCCCAGTCCTGACTCTTGCCCTAAAGGATGTTGCTACACAGGAGACCGTGTCAGGACTCTGTCTAGAAAGCTGAGAGGCTCACACCCAGCCAGCCCCCTTCTCATTCCAGGCGAGACAGCAACGTGTCCTGCCATGCATCTGGTCCCTGACAGTGGGATCGTTGTTATTCCATAGCTGTAGCCATTTTCATTTTTCAATTATCTCAAAAACAGTCCAGCAATATTTATACACTGGCTTTCAGATTCAGAAAGGACTCAAAACCAAAATAATGAGAGGAGTCTCTCAAATAATGTTTCTAGACCTCCCCATTAAATAGTGATAAGCAATTTGAACACATTTTTCTGTCCCACTTAATATAATCAGTGGAGAATTTGAGAAAGAAAATCTACCTTCAAGAGATACTTCTCAGTGATTGCCACTCCAGGCACACCAGTCTGAGACAGAGGCAGCTATGTGATCCGGATTTACAAGAGGCGTTAGCTTTCAATTCAGGCCGGTTCCTATGCCACGACCTTCACACATGATTAGAGAAAGGATGTCCATTGTTGTAAGGACAAAACAGATCAGCCAGTGATGAAAAGTGCCTCAGATACAAAAGGGAAAGTGTCAGTGGCACACCACAGCAGTGCTAAATCTGGGCTGGTTGCACAATCCATGGGCATGTAAGTTCCTCATTTAGAAGGTAAGCTCCTTGAGGGTAGAGACCCTCTCCCGTGCTCACTGCCACCTCCCCATGCATGAAACAGTACCTGGCACCTAGTGAATGCTTACCAAGTGTGTGTTGACAGACTGACCCACGGCTGGGAAATCCCCTTGTAGGCGTTTTTTTATTGCTGCCTGAGAAGTTACCACAAAATTTAGCAACTTCAAACAGCACACATTATTTCAGGGTTCTGCAGGCTTGACTGGGTGCTCAGGTTCTCAGAAGGCCAAACACAAAGTGTGCCCTGGGCCTGAACCAGGCTCGTCTGGAGGCTCGAAGATGATTCCACTTCTGAGTTCATTCAAGGTGTTGGCAGTTCTTTGAGGTTATGGGTCTTAAGTCATAGATTCTGAGGCCCCTGTTTCCTTGCTGGCTATCAGCCAGGGCCACTCAGCTCCCAGTGGATACCCACATTCCTTTACATGTGGCCCCCTCCATTTCAAAGCCAACAAGGACACATTCGGTTTTTCTCTGTGATTTTGCCTTCTTCCTCTAGCAGGAAAACTCCTGCTTTTAGAAGACTCGTGCAATTTGAAAAGGCCAACAAGGTCTCCCTATCTTGAGGGCAATCGGTTAGTACAATTGCATTACATCTGCAGAATGCCTTTTGCCACACAACATAGCATGATCATAAGAGTAACACCAGGGGTCCCGGAGGGCCTTGTAGAATCCTGCTTACCACACCACCAGTTGCCCATTTTTATCTTCATTACACCTTCATAAGCCCACACTTGGGTTTCTTCTTCTTTTAGTGACTGAAGAGAAATTTCCTTTATTTATCATGTGGGAGTGCACTCTGCCTGGTGGAAATAAACCTATCCCAGGGCATCCTACATGCCCTCAAAGCACCTACTTTCTGCGGGGAGGGTTGAGGAGAGCCCTGGAGTTTGGGCGGTTTATGAAGTTTTCAGGAACCTGTCATGAGGGACCTGAAAATAAAACTCCCTCTTCAAGCTATGGCTCCCTATACTGGTGTGACGTAGCTCAGCCGAGGAAGCCTTCGACTGAATGCATTTCTCTCTCCCTGTTTGCACAGACACATGGGCTTCCTACTGGTTCAGATGAAGTTTTCTCAGCCACAGGAGCTCTGCTCACTTGAGTTGGCAGTGACTTGAGGGCTACAAGTTGTTCTAGATGTCACATAGTGGACATTTGAGAAATCTGGGAGCCAGCCCAGGGACGACTCCTGCCTTATAGCTAAAGTCAGAACAACATCAAATCATAATTTCCTATTCATGTCTCATTACCATGAACTCAGGGTCTGGCACAAAGCAAGTATATAATAGATACTACATAATTATCTGTTGACTGTCCTTAACAAGGCTTATTTCAGGCACAGCCAGACAGTACTAGCAGTCTACTCCAACATTTTGGTTTTATTGGTACTTATCTCTTCATATCATCCATGGAACATCCAGTATAAACCAAATATTTTTACCGGAAATGTGAGGCCACTTTTGTGTACTAGAAGGACCATGTACTGGGTGAAAGTCTGGGGTTTAACCGGCCCAGCCTGTTTCATCATGAACAAATGATAGCACTAAATCATGCAGTCTTCTAAGTCACAGCCATAAAATTGTGTGGTTTTGTAAATCTCATGTCTAAGTGCATTGAGGAAGTTCATTATTTAAAGAAAGCCTATGACAATTGCTTTGACAAAAAGAAAACTCACTGTACTCATTCTCTGTTGTCACAGTACAGATTACCACAAATGTAGCGGCTTAAAATAACATACATTTATTATCCCATGATTTCTGTGGATCAGTAGTCTGGCCACAGTGTAGCTGGGTCCTCAGTCCCAGGGTCTCACAAGGATACAGTTAAGGTGTCAGCCAGGCTGCATTCTTTTCTAGAGCTCAGTATCCTGTTCCATGCTTATGTGCTTGTTGGCAGAATTCAGTTGCTTGCATTTGTAGAGCTGAGGTCCTGTTTTCATGCTGGCTGCGTCCAGGGACTACTCTCCCTACCCTCCACCCCCAAGAATTCCTTGTTCCATGGCTCTCTCATAAGCCCTTTAATGGTATAGCTGCTCACGTTTCCAAGGTCATCTGGAGAAGCTGTCTCTCCAGTCCACCAAGATGAAGTTTTAAATAAAATAGTCTAGGAAGTGACAGGTCCTTCACCTTTGCCATTCTATTTGCTGAAAGCGAGACACAAGTTCTAGGGGAATGATGACTCATTGGGGTCACCTTAGAGTATGTCCAGCACACCTGCCATCCCCTCATTTGTAGATGGGGAGAGTTGCAAGAATTTTCTAATGGCTACATTTGCTTCAACCTAAAAGGTTCCAATTGGTGGAATTAAAGTCCCAGTGTGTTATGTAGTCTTCCGTCGTCCTCCAGTGACTCTCCCTTGAAAATACTTTAGTAGTAGAGAATTCAGAGGCTGCTCCTCCATCAAAGGGAGCAAATAGTATCTGGAGCTCCTGAAGTGGTACATTGATAAATGCTTCATCTAAGTGGCAGCTGGAGCACAATCGGCGCATCCCAGACCCTTCAGCATGAGAACTGGAATGCTGGAGAGTGAGAAGGGGGCGGAGAGGGTGGAGATGAGTCCAGGGGAACCCCGGGAGAGTGAGAGATTTGGGAGGGAGACAGTGTCCTTTTGTTATTCCAGTGAGGGACCTCACAGTCTTTGCCTGTAGAGCAGTGTTTCTCAATCGGGGGTGCCTTTGCCCTTCACAGAACATTTGGCGATGTTGGGAACCTTGTTGGTTGTCATGACAGTGGTGGGGCAGAGAGTGCTGCTGATGGGCAGTGGGCAGACGGCAGGGATGCCGCCCATCATCCTACAGTGCACGGGATGGCTCCCGCCACAAAGAGCTACCTGGCCTGAAATGTCGGCAGTGCCAAGGTTGGGAAACCCTACCATGGAATCTCCCTGGGCTTGCTTGACTAATGTCGATTGCCTGAGTCACCCACCACCCTATCCCGGTTATCATCTCCTGTGGGCAGGTGTGGAGAATGATGGTTCTTCTACCCATGTGCCACGTGTCTCTGGGCTCGATGAAGAGCAGGCACATCACATTGTTCAGTGACCAACAGCAGGTATGCCTTTGGTGGGGAGTTAGCTTCACACCTACCTATCCTGCTGTGCACTGGAGGAAGCTACTGGCTACAGGTATCTGAGAGAAAAAGTGAAAGGACCTGAGATTATTCCGGCCCAAGTAGAGAGAGTGTTTAAGGTGTGAAATTGTGACAATGTCCACTGGTTGACACCCGGTCTCCGTGAATTTCTGAGCAGTGAAGAATGACCAGACAGCTAGCCGTCATTGGAATGAGATTGTTGACCAAAACACCCAATGGCTGAGCTGGCTGTGATGTTTGCCCCAGCTCCGGGCAAAGCTTTTGATTTGTTTTGATTTCCAGGTGGAGCCCAACACCAAAGTGTTTCCAGCAGTCTTCCTGCAGCCTACAAGTACTTCCTTGTTTCAGTTCGAACTTGGAAAGCTGAAGGTATTTATTTGTTCTCTCATCTAATGACCATGACAAGAGAAAGCAGAACTAACCATTGGGGGAAAATCCCAGGCCTCAGAAGACAAGAGAAGCCCACTCACTTCCCATAAGCCCCCAATCCTCAGGCCCTGCCCTTTCCTGTGGAATTCAAATGATAGAATATGCATTCTTATCTTCCCCTTTTCCCACCTCTTTTGGGTGCTGAAAGAATCAATTAATGCTCATATAACCCATTATTTGAAGTGCTAATTAATGCTAGTAAAGCCCTTAGAGGTCCCTGGATACACCTGTCCCTCTTTAATTTAACTGACCATAGTGGTTAAAATGTCTGGGTGCGTCATCCAGCAACTGTGTGTTTCTTTTCCAATGCCTTTCCCACATGCCCCAGAACGCAATGCCCCTGTCAGCGGCCATATTCAAGAGTGAAGAGAAGAACCCAGTTCCACAGTGTCCACCTCGGCTGGACGTCCAAACCATCCAGTCCGTGCTCTGGAGCTGCATGCCCAACAGCTTCCTGAAGGTGGAGAGCGAGCGTGTGAGCGAGCGCCACGGCTGGGTGGTGCAGTGCCTGGAGCCCCTGCAGATGATGGCACTCCACATCCCCGAGGAGAACAGGTACCAGAGGGGCCCGCGAAGGAAGGGGCAGGCCTGGGGGCAGGTGAGGCAGAGCCAAGCAAGCCCAGAAGGGAACCGGGAGCATCTGTATTGGATCCTGCTTAGTCCTGATATGACTTGATTTCCCCAGTGCCTCAGTTTCTATTCCTTCCCACTTTCATTACTCAGAAACAGCAGGAAACACACTACGAGGTGCTGCCACAGGACCTTTGTTGCAGTTCCTAGTGCCTGGGATCAAGGAACAGCGACATGCCTTTAATTAAAAACCAGTTTACATTGAAATATGCATTATTTATGATAGGAAGGGGAAGAATGAGGCATCCTAGCTTGACTTAGAGAATCAGGAATCAGTTCCTGGTCCCCCCTTGCTAAGAGGTGCTGTTCATTATGGCTGGGGTTCAATCCCATTGCTCTCTCTTCCTGCTTTCTGGCTATGTGGCCTTGGGTACATTACTTGTGGGCTCTGAATGTTGCTCTCTTCATCTACACAGTGAGAGAAATGCCTGCCCAAAGGGTTTCTGGGAGGAAAAAAATGAGGTCGTATAAGTATAATCTGGTACAGTTTCTGTACGTAGTAAGGAATAAATGTTATAGTTATTGCTGTTCCTTGACCTCTTTGAATAAAAAAGCAGCGTAATGGGAAAGGGAATGCAGGTGTGATCGTTTTCCGGTTGTTGGAGGAACACCCCATGGATAGTGATAGACTGGATATACAAATGATCCAGATCAGTGGTCCCCAGCCTTTTTGGCACCAGGGACTGCTTTCATGGAAGACAGTTTTTCCACAGACAGTGGTGTGTGAGACTGGGGGAGGGGGCAGTGGGGATGGTTTCGGAATGAAACTGTTCCACCTCAGACCATCAGGCATTAGATTCTTATAAGGAGCATGCAGCCTAGATCCCTCACATGCACGGTTCACAATAGGGTTTACGCTCCTATGAGAATCTATTGCCGGTCCTGGGCCATGGCCCTGGGACTGGGAACCCCTGATGTAGATGGTAGACTGACCGAAAGCATAATCTACATTTTCTGAGGAGATTTTACACAGGGAAATGCAAGATCTGCTTGATCCTACAAGTAAGACGACCAAGTCATTGCTCTCATATATGTGAATGTTTTGTTTGGGAATTTTGGATTTTTTCCTAATAATGAGGACTTTCATAGTTGGTAAACCAGTGTCCTGCAGGCTTTTGAGAGTCTTGTAGTTAAATATGGTGGAGTATTAGGAACTGGAATATGGACCAGAGCTGAGAGAGGCATGATAAGCTATAAGAGAAACTGTGGCAGAGACCCCTCCATCCTTCCACCCACTCTGCCTCCTTTGGGCTGGGTGAAATCGCTGGATTCTGGTGGGTTCTTCTCCCCTTGGTGTGGCTGATTGCTCGTCCTGTCCTCAGGTGTGTGGATATCCTGGAGCTCTGTGAGCAGGAGGACCTGATGCGGTTCCATTACCACACGCTGAGGCTCTACAGCGCGGTGTGCGCCCTGGGAAACAGCCGTTTGGCCTATGCCCTGTGCAGTCACGTGGACCTCTCCCGGCTCTTCTATGCCATTGACAACAAGTATCTCCCTGGCCTCTTTCGAGCCGGCTTCTATGACCTGCTCATCAGCATCCACCTGGCCAACGCCAAGGAGAGGAAGCTGATGATGAAGAATGAGTACATCATCCCCATTACCAGCACCACCAGGAATATCTGCCTCTTCCTGGACGAGTCCAAGAGGCATGGACTGCCTGGGGTGGGCCTGAGAACATGTCTCAAGCCCGGGTTCAGGTTCTCCACCCCTTGCTTTGTCGCAACTGGTGAGAAGCACCAAAAACAGAGCCCTGAGATTCCCTTGGAGAGTCTCAGGACGAAGGCTCTGAGTATGCTGACAGAGGCGGTGCAGTGCAGCAGGGCCCACATCCGAGACCCCGTAGGGGGTCTGTGGAGTTCCAGTTTGTGCCTGTGCTGAAACTCATTGGAACCCTGCTGGTCATGGGCGTGTTTGATGATGACGATGTTTGGCAGATCCTCATCCTGATTGATCCCTCTGTGTTTGGGGAGCATAGCGCAGAGACAGAGGAGGGAACAGAAAAGGAGGAAGTGACCCAAGTGGAGGAGAAGGCTGTGGAGGCTGGGGAGAAGGCCGGCAAGGAGGCTCCTGTCAAAGGCTTGTTGCAGACTCGATTACCCGAGTCCGTCAAGCTGCAGGTAAGCTGCAGGTGGTTAAGTGGAGGCAGGTTAATAGATCTTCTGCTTTGATAAAAATATCAGGAACACACTGAGGGTTAAAGGAGATGAGGTATGTCAAGTGCTCGGCATAGTAACTGGCCAAGAGTGCTTGATGATTATGGTGCTTGTTGTTGAATAAGTTCTAACAGTGATAAGCTTGGTAATAATAACAATCCAAAACAACTCATCCCAGAAAAATAGTGCAAAAAACAGTGGAAGATGGAGAGAAGGACAAACATCTCTACTTTCCATCCTCCAGGACTGGAAAATTTCAGGAAGGGAGGTAGCACTCACATGCATGATCTGGAGCTGGTTTTTCTACTGAGCTTCCTGGGAAATATTTTCTTAGAAATAGTATTTTCTCTCTCCACAGGCAGATTTCCTCTGTCTTTAGTGAGCTGTTTTCTGTTACTGCCTTCACCTTAATGGTGAAGATTTGAGTAATAGCTCTATGACCACTGTGTGGCGATTTACTTTAATTGTCTAAGTCTGTAAAATGGGAATGCCAGCAGCCTCACCAGTGTACACAAAGTGTTACATATATAATACTTTCACTGCAGATGTGTGAGCTCCTCAGCTATCTCTGCGACTGTGAGCTGCAGCACCGAGTGGAGGCCATTGTGGCATTTGGTGACATTTATGTCTCCAAGCTGCAGGCAAATCAGAAGTTCCGCTACAATGAGCTCATGCAGGCCCTGAACATGTCTGCGGCCCTGACTGCCCGGAACACCAAGGAGTTCCGCTCACCCCCACAGGAGCAGGTGAGGGTCCCGTCCTGAGCTTCCATCCAGTTCCTATGCAAGAACTTGAGACCTATGGAACAGGGCACACGAAACCTCTATGGTGTCTGGGGCAGCCTCCAGAGCTATGGAAGATGAAAAGACCCACTGCAATAGCAAGAGACAGGCCTAGTCCTGAAAGCTAAGGAATATGTGCCAATTCTCTTGGGTGGGAAAATACCCCTTTCTAAACTGCACATGCGCAGGGCTTCCTCTCTCCTTTCACCCTCTCCAGTGCCTCCATTACTGATTCAAAGACCAGACCACTGTTGGGATTCAGTTGTCTCCTCAGCAAGGATACACCACTCACAAGGATTTCTGCCAACCCTTCCAGAAGTCACTACCTGTCCATCAGATACCAACAGAGGAGGGTCAACCTGCCCCTACTTATGAGAGTTGGCCCCCAGTCTTCTTCGTCCAATGTGTCTAAACCCCCTCGCCAGTGGCACGACTCTTTCACAAAGCCTCCCCAGCTCCACGGAGCCTGGAGAAGGGGACTCAGCGAGTGAGTCATCTTTGTGATTTGTTGTATTCATTCTTCACAGTACCCACCTTGGGGTTAGCCTTACCCCGGTGGGAAGGGCTTCTTTAAGAAGAGTCGAGATCCTGGTGAGAAATTTCTAAATGAGGAAGGCACATCTGTAGAATAAGAGTTTCCATTTTCCCCACTGCTCAGCAGCTCACTTAGACCCTGTGGGCGGGTTGGCCACTGCTCCCTAAGTGTTCAAAAGAAAATATAAATCTTTCAGTGAAGTAAGTAGTTTTTGTTTCAAAATCAGATCTTTGGATTATGTATATACATATACATATATATGTATACATCCTGGGAGGGAGATGCAAAATGTAGGTAATTTTTGCATCTCCTTCCCAGGGTTCTTGCAAGGATCACATGAGATAATTCATTTAGATTGCTTTGCACGACGCCTGTCACAGAGTAAGCCTTCTGTAAGTACTAAGCGAGCTACTATTAGTTTTATTGTTGGAGATATTTGCAGTTGCTTCATCCCAGGCTCTGTGACCTTCCATCAGTGACCCAGTGAGTGGAGCTCACACATGTTTTCTGGCATCTCTTTCTCCCAGCCAAGCCTGGGGTTACCCACCCAGTACTGTCCTCATGGATGTAGCTGCTCATGGTTCTGGCTCATGGGAAGGACAATGTTTGCTCACATCCTTCCTTTCCCCCATTCTGTCTCCGTACCTTCTACCGTCTCTTGGGCTGCCATTTAGATCCACTGCCAGTCTAAAAACAGCTTGACAACATTTGTAAAGCCTTCAAGAGTAATTCCTGACAAAACAGCATACCCGTGCATTTGGCACAGTGCAAATAATCTTTTCCAGTCAATCCAAAAGACTTTCTCATTTTACATCTAGCAAAGGGATGATGAGTATGTACCCTCCTTTAGTATTCTAAACAATCCTCTGATCAATCTCTTCAGACTCATTTCAGAAGTCTGTAACTCAAGAAATTCTTCACTAATGTATTAGACCAGTGATTCTTGAGCAAGCATCAGAATCATTTAAAAGGCTTAATAAAACACAGTTTGCTTGGTTTCACCCCTAGGGTTTCTTCTTTGAGACAGAGTCTTGCTCTGTCATGCAGGCTGGGGTGCAGTGGCGTGGTCTCAGCTTACTGCAACCTCTGCTTCCCAGGTTCAAGTGATTCTCATGCCTCAGCCTCCCAAGTAGCTGGGACTACAGGCATGCGCCACCATGACCAGCTAATTTTTGTATTTTTAGTAGAGATGGGGGTTTTCCCATGTTGGGCAGGCTGGTCTCAAACTCCTGACCTCAAGTGATCCACCTGCCTCAGCTTCCCAAAGTGCTGGGATTACAGGCGTGAGCCACCACGCCCGGGCCTCACTTCTAGGGTTTCTAATACGATGGGTCTAGGGTGAGGCCCAAGCATTTGCATTTTTAGCAAGTTTTCAGGTAATGCTGATACTGCTGGTCTAGGAATAAAAATGAAAGGAGGGGCACTTACCACTATGAGATTCAGCTGTTCTCCTGCCGTCCCCCCCAGAGTGTTCACTTCTACAAGGCACCTACCCGTGGAGTTACCAATATCAGGAAGATTTAATGTCATCAAAGGATGTGGTGGATTTAGATCAATTTCAGAGAATAGTCATGCAAAATCACTTAGAAAATAGGATGCCTGAAAATTAGGATTTTAAAACAGTGATATCCTTCTACAACTTTTGAGGAGAAAATAGATTTTTAAGCCCTATATCCAGAGAGTATTCAGGAAGATGGAAAAAATTGGGGGATATGACTAAGTACAAAAGAAGGTAAAACTGAGATTAGTCCAAGGGTTGCTGGTAAGTTAGCCAAGCGTTACCAGCTGCCCTTTCATTTCCAAGAGGACGTTATTAAAGGGTATGGCCTGCAGCAGAAAATTCAGCTCAGCCCAGCTTTTTGTTGTATGTCCTACAGGCAGGGAAGCCCCTGCTTCCTAAATGTTCTGCCAAAAGAAAGATCTTTTAGTAAAGAAACTAGTTTTCTAACTCAGAAACCAGATCTTCAAATCTTATTTTTAATCAACAACGAATCAGCATATGTTGTTAATGTAATTACCATAATTTTAGCTCACAGAAAAACCACAAACATGACTTTTCCCACCTGTTTTGTGGATATTTTTTCTTACAAACAATACCTCTACCTACTTCCAAAATATGGTTTGCAGTTAGAGCTTTGAGTAGAGTTCCTCCTAACAATGCTACATAAGGTTCATGATTTAATAAGAGATTGTAAATGTGTCTAACCTAGAAATCCTAAACAGAAGGAGTTTGGGTTATCCTGGCTGAGGTAGCAAAATGTTTACCTCTGGTTATTTCTTCTGTCCCTCCAGATGTTCAGTGACCTGGGGTCGTGGACCTGTGGGCAGAATTCGGAGACCCAGGAACCTGAGTGCAAAATGAATGACAGCTTTATTTTCATTGATCTCTGATAGCATTTCTTTTCTTATTTTAATATGGGCAGCAAAACAAGTAACTGACTTTGTCACCAACCAAAATTGCACCTTTTTTCATATCACATTACAGTGGTTACGGTATCTAGAAAAATCATTTTCACTCCTTACTACCTCAAGACCACAGTGGATATGACCTGCCACTAGATCGTTTTCTCTGAGTTAATGGGCCGGGCGCGGTGGCTCAAGCCTGTAATCCCAACACTTTGGGAGGCCGAGACAGGCGGATCACGAGGTCAGGAGATCGAGACCATCCTGGCTAACACGGTGAAACCCCGTCTCCACTAAAAAATACAAAAAATTAGCCGGGTGAAGTGGTGGGCGCCTGTAGTCCCAGCTACTCGGGAGGCTGAGGCAGGAGAATGGCGTGAACCTGGGAGGCGGAGATTGCAGTGAGCTGAGATCCGGCCACTGCACTCCAGCCTGGGCGACAGAGCGAGACTCCGTCTCGGAAAAAAAAAAAAAAAAAGAAGTACATATATTACTACATCACAAATTTGATTTTTATAGTTTTGATAACTGTATGTCAGTATAATTATTTATCTTTGTAGTCCCATGTATTTTATCTTGTGCATTTAAAATATTAATCAGAGAAGCAATCCATGGGTTTCACCAGACTCTCAGAGGGGTCCATAGCACAAAAACTACTAAAAACCCTGAGTCAGGCCGGGTGCAGTGGCTCACACCCATAATCCCAACACTTTGAGAGGCCAAGGCAGGTGGATCACGAGGTCAGGAGTTCGAGATCAGCCTGGCCAACATGGTGAAACCCCATCTCTACCAAAAATACAAAAAATTAGCCAGGTGTGGTGGTGTGCACCTGTAATCCCAGCTACTCGGGACCCTGAGGCAGGAGAATCGCTTTAACCCAGCAAGTGGAGGTTGCAGTGAGCCGAGATCATGCCATTGCATTCCAGCCAGGGCAACAGAGCAAGACTCTGTCTTGAAAAAAAAAAAAAAAAAAAAAAAAATCCCTGAGACAAAAACTAAAAGAAAAGAATGATAGATTGGCACTGAAAAACATAAACCTACATGACAAAACAAAAACTTGTAGACAAACTTAAAAGCTGACTAAAAACTGGGCAATACATTTAGAGTATAAAAGTATATAAAAGTATATAAAAAGTGAAAAATCTAAAGGTGTGCAAAGCACTCAAGGGCAAATTTTCTTAAGATAATTACCCAGTAGAAAAATGGAGGAAAAATATGGATGCAAATTTATAAAATACAAAATAAAATTAATTTTTATGTGTGAAAAAACAAATTTCAGCCTCACCAATTAAGCATAAATTACAGCAACAGGGATATGACATTTTTCACCCATTCAGTTGAAAATATTTGAAAATGTGTTAACGCTCATTACTATAATGAAGATGACATAGTAATACACACTTGTATAAATTTGTTAATAATGCAAATTATTGTAAGCTTTCTGAAGGGCAGTTTTTAAATTCATGTAAAAAACTATTAAAATATAGAAACCTGTTGCTGTAGTCATTTTGCTTCTGGGAGTTTATTCTAAGAAAATAGAGACATGAACAAAAATTATTTTAAAGGAAACTCAAACCAACTTTATTTATAAGGACAAATAATAGAAACAAATATTTCATAACAGTTAATTTTACATAAATTATTCATCCATATAATTACAATGCACCTATTAAAAATTAGATTAAGAAAATAAGAAAATATTCAAGTAACATTAAGCGGAAAACTCTGATTTTTAAAAGGTGTATCTGGAATGTGATCCATTCTGTGCGTATGCATATATAATGTCAGGAAGACATTAGCTAAAATATTAACAGTAGTTATCTTGGGGTGGTAGAATCACAGTAAATTTTCTTATTTAGATATTGTCCAAATGTTATGCAATTAATAAGTTACTTTTAGAATCAGAAGAAGGTGGAAGCTACTTTTAAATATTGGCCACTTTTACCAAAAAAAAAAAAAAAAAAATCACTAAGCAAAATAAATTTGCAAAGAATGTGTCTGTCTAAGGCGGGATCCGAGTTCCCTTGGCCAACATTGAGAACCGACTAGCTATTCTTCTCTTGCCCCTCAAAGATCAACATGCTTCTTAACTTTCAACTGGGAGAGAACTGCCCCTGCCCAGAGGAGATTCGGGAGGAGCTGTATGATTTCCATGAGGACCTTCTCCTTCACTGTGGTGAGCTGCCCAGAGAAAGGCTTTGTCCAAGAAAAGTCTGTTTTTAGAAATTAGAAATTTCTAATTCCTTCATTAGAAAGCTAGTGGTGGGTTGGGAAGTTATTTTTGTATTTAAAATTGTAATACTGTCTTTCAAGACGTGACTCTATCCCAACTACTTGTGTCAGAAAAGATGCAAGAAATAACCCTGGCAGAATATATGATCAAAATTCCTTCTACCTGGAAGAGCCTGTGCAGAGAGGAAACAGGGTTGGGTTTCTAGCAAAAGAATGAAGATAACTGATCCTTATATAAACCTCACCTAATTTACTTAAAGTTAGTTGGAACTCTCAGCTTCCAGGTCAGACAAGATTCTGATCCCTTTGCTTTTTAGCTATTAGGTGTGTCTGTGTGTGGGGGGGTGGTGTTTAGTAACTTCTGCCCTTAAGGTTTCTCAGCCAGCAATTTCTACTTGGATACGTACCTACTGGTTTTAAGTGGCTCTTGGCGTTTATGTTGCTTGTACATGGGTAAGTTGAATAATACGTGGGTAATTGACAAGTTTTTCATTTGAAATAACTCAATGTTAACTCCTTCTACAGACTCTAGGGCCACGTCCCCCAGACATGCTTCCAGAGGTTTCAACACTACAAGAGTGTATGTAATCCCCCATACACTCTTCCGGAGGTTTTGGGGGTATAGATTCAAAACACCTGTTTTAGGATTAAACTAACTTGATATTCTGATAGACAGGAAATCAATCATTTTTTTTCCAAAAGCTATAAGATAGGTAAATATTTATGAGAGGTTGCCTGTAGTATCTTTAGAAAGTTCCAGAAGGATGGGAAGCAGTTTTTTAAATGTTCTTTCTGATGCCATGATGGTTTCATGTACTGCTTTGGATTTTCACCCTGTTCTGTGGCTTGGAAGGGGTTCCTTTGGAAGAAGAGGAAGAGGAGGAGGAGGACACCTCCTGGACGGGAAAACTCCGTGCCTTGGTTTACAAAATCAAAGGCCCACCCAAGCCAGAGAAGGAACAGCCAACGGAGGAGGAGGAGAGATGCCCCAGTAAGTGACATTGCCTTTAAATGATAGGGTGCTCTTCTAAGACTTAATTAAGGTAACTGTTTTTTTAACAAATACTATAAGATCGATATGGGTTGCTTAACTTCAAAGAAAGCATCTGGGCAGTATGTTATAATTGCTGGTAGTTCTGTTATGTATTTTGGGTTCTGCCTTTCTTCTGATTGAAGAAACTTACTTTCAGACTGTTCTGAAACCTGAGATGGATTGCTTGGTGTCTGTTCTTGCTGTCTTGTTCTACTTAGAGATGCCTGTAAATACATGCCTGTTCTTCTTTTATGTTTCCATAGTCTTCCTCTTTTAGCCATTATTGTTTCTTAACGATAATTGTTTCTGTCACTTCCATTTGAAAAATTGGAAATTGAAAATTGCCCCAGAGAGGAAATAAAATAATAATAAAAGAGAGTTTGTAAAGGAAATAGGATATGAGTTTGGGGGTGTTGTTTTTGGATTTGGGGTATGGTTTTTGAAAATGTAGCATCCTAGAGACTTTAACTTTCTATTTTTCAACAATGCCGAGCTTTGTCCAGATTTATCTCTAAAATCCTTATACTATCGATGACTCCTCCCATTTTGACCCATGATGAAACAAGATTATAATTTGTTCTGCAGGGCTGTTGGATTGTCTCTAAGACATGAAATTTCAAGAGGAAGATTGTCTTGTCTGAGTATTATATATAATCAGTCCTCTTGTTGGTACAGATTCAGCAAATTTATCATTTGTCTAAAGAAGAAGGAATTTCTCAGGTTTAATATCGTTGCTTTTTATCTTGTTTCCTATTCCTATCCATCTTAGAACACACTTTCAAATCATAGACTAGAGCAATTGACTGTCAAGATAGGATCGGTTTGTCTGAAAACACTACTTTGGGGTTCATACATCTTACTGCCCTTTATATCGACCTTTCATCTTTGTCAGAATATCTCTGAAGGGAACAAATCTCACTATTTGTCAGCAGAAGTGTTGAAACCTCTGGAAGAGTGTACGGGGGACTTGGCACTGGCAACCCTTGATAGGGTAGTTCCATCAGTCACTCTGGAAAGGGTGGGTCTTTTGTGAGGGTGTGCCAGCCGCACTCTAAAGCCCCAAAAACGTGAGTTTGGACTCCCTTTGTGGTTGCAACCAAAGGAGAACTGGAGGAGAACTGAAAATAGGCTGAGTTACCCATATGTCTCCTATATCACCTGCTGAGAGTCTATTTTGAAAGTGAATGCTTCTTTCCCACCTTCTTTTTCTTTTTTTTTTTTCTTTTAAATTTTTTTTCTTTTTATTTTTTTTTTCTTTTTATTTTTTTTTTCTTTTTTTTTTCTTGAGACAGGGTCTTGCTCGGTCACCGAGTCTGGAGTGCAGTGGTGTGATCTCCGCTCACTGCAACCTCCACCTCACGGGTTCAAGCGATTCTCCTGCCTCAGCCTCCCAAGTAGCTGGGATTACAGGCATACACTACCACGTCTGGCTAATTTTTGTATCTTTAGTAGAAACAGGGTTTCATCATGTTGGCCAGGCTGGTCTTGAACTTTTGACCTCAAGCAGTCTGTCCTCCTTGGCCTCCCAAAGTGCTCGGATTACAGGTGTGAGCCACTGCGGCTGGCCTTTTCCCACCTTCTTTTTAACAGAGAGTATGTCGTGGCTGGGGAATCCCACCAGGTGACCATTTCATGTGAGGTAAATGGAGTCAGTCAGATGAAGTCACTTGTCACCGACCTCTGTGAAGCCTCCCCCAACATCTGTGAATGATGTTCAGGCACCGAGGATTGCAGTCTGCAGCCCCGCTATCTCAGGCACACAGACCACATTCTGTCTGTCTTGGCACAACGTGCACACTTGAGAGGCCAGCCCGGTATGAGACTGCGTGTTTTCACCTCATGCTTCTTCCCTTCCACAGGAGGAGTTATGAGAGGTTCACGCTTCATGTCATAAGTTCTCTATCCTGGGATCCCAGAAATAGATGAAATGGTCGAGGTGGTCAGGCATGTTTGGCTTCTCTGCTGAATGTTCCAGACATGATGAATCCCCTCACTCAAGCCTGGCATTTTAAAATAAATTCTGGAGAGTGGTTTAACAACCACCACCCCCATAAATTGTTTTTAATATGATTGAATGGAGACAAGGTTGCTGACTGCAGAACCAGATGCATTAAAGGGTCAAAATCCTTCAAATTATTGGTAACTTTGTTCATGTTATTGTGTATCTGATTTCTATTACCCTTGCATTTGATGAAATAATGAAAGTGTAGATAGTGTTAGAAACATTCTACAATGAATTGGCAGTTTACTAAATACTTCCACACATATTCATTTACTGCTGTTAGTTTTCTACACTCCTCCATGGTATAGTTGGGGGAAGTAGGACTCAGAAGAATTAAGAGGTACTTGTTTATTCTTTCCACCCTTATCCGGTTCCAGAAAACCGTCTGGTGTCTGATTGTCACCAGCCCAAGGTACCTGAAGTGAGTAAAGCTATGGCTTGAAGGCAGGTCTTCTGACTCTCTGTATTGTACTGTGCTTTTCCACTGTACCGTGAGGCTTGCCAAAGAGCTTACCAGCATACATACCATGAGCTGCAAACACATATGGAATGGCTTTTTAAAATCACTCTTTTTATCTTCCCTACTACATCTGTGAGAGATCTCACTATTGTGACTCCAAATCTGAACCCAGCGGAATTCAATGTTTTAAGATTTAAAAGTTCAGCAAACCAAAGATCTGAATCGTTTTCAGATATGGTGGTGGTGGGCCCACCCTTCAGTCCCTCCGCTATGAGAAGCTGATGTTGGCCAGATGACCTGCAGAGAAGCCACAACTTTTCTAGGAAAGAGAGAGCGACAGTGTCCTGAAACTCATGTTCTGAAATGTGCTAGCTGGCTCGATGTTGAAGGGATTTGCCTAAATTAACTCCAAGCCATATTGTTAATGAAAGCTGTTACAATATTATCAAAGGATCAAATGATAATGAACAAATGAAAAAAATCTAACAATAGTAGTCACTATACTAAGTCACTTTTTTTTTTTCATGTCTCCATCCAGAAAATTCCCTCGAAAATTTTTTGCCTGTTCATTCTGGCCAGTACTTCTCCAACGCTGCAGTTTAAGCAGCATTTCCTTGAATGTAAATATATAGGCACTGATTATTCTTCCAGAAGAGGCTGACCAGGTATTTCTGCTAAATTCTAAAATTAACAAAATAAAAATGACCTGTCAAATTTTACAGATTAAAATTTGATACATTCTTATCTCTGCCACTTGTTGAATGCTTTCCCATGGGAGAAGGAGGCTCCGTCCTGGCATCTTATCTCTGTGCTTAGAGTCCTTGAGATGACTCACTGCAATTCAGCTTTGGGTGGCTTTGGTTAAGAACTGAGTTATAGGTGAGCATGGCTGAGTCTGTCTGAAGGAGATGAACATACCTCTTCTGTCTTTAGCCCTGTGCTGTTTGCCACAGAATGTTACCTCTCACAGAGCTTAGTTGGTACTCTTGGCCTTGAATAGCACCTACTCTCCCCTGCCACTCTTCTTCTAATGAAGACCAGGACTGGAGGTGACCTTGAACCTATCAAGCCCCAAAGCCCCCCTACGTGTGTTAGCTCTTGCCTATTCACTGAACAGTCTAGCAGCCCTAAACCAAAATTCTCCACCAGCTAAATGCTGTCGCATGTTTAGTGCTGAGACGAAGAAAACATCTATACAAAATAAGTCCCAGCACCTCAACACAAATACTCACATGCAAAGTAAGATGTCTAAATTCTCTCCAATGAGCCTCTTCCTAAACACACACACAAACGCCTCCTCGGTGAAGTCTTTCAAACTCATTCTCCTTCCCTCTACCCCTTCCACATTGTGGAATTTCTAATAGTGTATGTATGACTTTCCACCTTATGTGAGGTGTTTGGATATGTATTTGTTGTCCTCGCTGGGTCTTAATGCAGGGAGCATGTCATACTTGTTTCCACACTCAGCTCTATGGCACCAATGTTTTTGACCTCCAACTGAATATTGGTCACTTGAGGCTCTTAAAAATGAAGAAAACAGGGAGGCAACTCAAAATAATCATGAGGTTGGATGTATTGTAATAAAAGTACAGACAAAGTACAGTAGGTGGCCAGAGGAGGAGATTGAGAAATTGTCCGTAAAGAATGTAGATGGCTGGAGAAAATAAGAAGGAAAAGGCATTTTTAATGGAAAAAAAGAAAAAAAAAAAAACCTGCTTCAACAAAGGCCCACAGGGTCAGAATGAAAAACAAAAGTAGTGTTAGAATATAGAATGTCTTGAAAAATCCAGCGACCAAACCTTATGCGGGCTTAGAGTGTTACTCTTTGTCATACCCATGTGTTTTATAATATTTGGTTTCCCGGTTGTGGGGAGGGAGGGGCTAACACTTATGCGGTACCCACTGTGTCCTGAGCATTGTCTTGAGACTTCCATAAATATGACCTTATTTCACTCTCATGAGAACAGCCTGCAATACGCAATTGTATTTCTGTTTTGCAATTGAAGAAGCTGAGGTAAAGACAGAGTAAGTAACTTGCCAGAATCACACAGAGGTGGCACAAAAATTCAAAGCTTTGTCAACCTGAATTCAATTTCCATCCTTATCACTTACGTAAGAACATCCTGCCCCCTATAGGCAATGGCTGTGAAAGGTTCTTGAGGACTAAGTCATTCATTTACTTAACAATACTGAGATAGTTATGGGCACAGGGCTCCGGAGTTAGGCTGCCTAGTCTTAAATTCTTAACTTCTCCCAAAATTCACGATATCCAGGAGACTGAGCATGAGACAGCTCCTCTGTGCCTCAGTTTTCTCATCTATAAAATGGACGTGGCATATACATACTTACCTCATTGGGTTGACATAAGCATTACATTAGTTAATATATGCAAATTGCTTAAATGTGTGTCTGGCACATAGTGAGCACTTCATTTTAACTATTTTTTGGCTATTGTTTGTTGATTACCTGCCATATGAGACACAAATCAAACTGCTTTAGCAAGA